GTGTGTGTGTGTCCAGGGGAGAGAGAGAGAGAGAGAGAGAGAGAGAGAGAGAGAGAGAGAGAGAGAGAGAGAGAGAGAGAGAGAGACCTATAGTTAACTTGTGTAAATTTTTTTAAAAGTTTTAATGTAAATTTTACTTCAATCCCATGCTGTACACATATATATTTCCTGGCTGTTTATTGTTGCACTGTGCACCAGCACCTATAGTGGTATATGTAGAGGGAGGTGGCTCATGTTGTGTATGGTGGATGTATATATATATATATATTGTACAGGTGGTGTTGGCACTTTAGGTACATGTGATGCTGGGCTGTAGTATACAGATATGATACTATGTCAGTCAGTGACCATGCTGTAAACCAACTTGAGCCCAGCTCTGTTTTTTTTTTTTGTTTTGTTTTTTTTAAATAAAACTGTTTTGGACTTTGCTCTCAAACAAAAACATTTCACCTCCACATCCTGTGTCCATGGCAGTTGTGTCATTGCAGTGAAACCCTGACCTTCCTGAGCATCCTGATACTAAAACAGTTAGACTGGGTTGCCATTCCAAGATGGATCTAACAGGATCGATCCACCTCCAAGGGTTTTCTTGCTAAATTGCTTTCAGCTTAAGCAGCTTAAGCTCCTACTGAAGCTGATAGGGGGTAATTAGACATTTAAGCTGCTTAAGTTGATTGCAATTTAGCAAGAATCTCCATGGAGATAGATCGATCCACAGTTAGTAGGATAGGGTCTTGGAATGGTCCCTTAGAGTTCAGGCGGAGACCGAAGTAGTCTTGGTGGTGTGTGTCATGGATGTTGTGTATGTTTTCTTTCTAGATGAGGAACCAGAGAAGCCAACATTTGGCAAGCAGCCTCTGAACTGGGAGGAAGACATGGAGATGTATTCTAAATTCCTGGACAGAAAGGTATACAACCCCACATCACCATAGGATACGAGTGGAGCTCATATGAAGTGGCACTTTAAGAATGAGTTCTTGGGAAATTAGGGTTAAACTGGGTTTAATTGTGGGTCAACCCTGATGGTTACCGTAATGCACATAGTGGTGGCAGCCCGCTGACAGGGAGATGTTATGTTTTTACAATTTTTGCTGTAATGCACATAGTGGTGGCAGGGATATGTTAAATATTCACAGTTGACATTGTTGTGTTGTTTGCACTCTCACTTCGTGTAAGTATACCAGTTCATGAAATCAGTTGAAAACTAAAAGATGGTAATGTCTCCATGTCTCCTTCCGTCTTTCAGGAGCAGCTGGTGAATGATCATACTGTTTACATGAAGAAGCATCCAGAGCTCAAGGCTCTCCTGGCAGACTTTACACAATTCTTGTTGCTACGGAAACCTGATGACGTCATATCATTTGCTGCGGACTATTTCTCCTCTTTCTCCACCACTATGAAGTCAGCTTCTCCGTATCTGAAGTCTGCAGAACCCACCATGTTCCCGATGAGCAGAACAAATACTAAAATTGAGAAACTAGCACAAGTCAAGGCATCTGGAAATTTGTAAAAAAAATATTCGATTTAAATGATTTAACTTGAAGCTTTGGGGAAACAGTTGACAGTAAATTTTAGATATTCAAGAATGTGACATCTTGATATAAGCCATGACAACAGAAGGTCATAGTATCATTAAGTTTTAGCACGGCGACTTCATAAACGTAATGAACAGTGTTATGACCTCGTGATGAATGTGCGAGCACCGACTTCATAAATGTGGTGTTGTACCTGGTGACTTGCACCACTGTTGTTATGGAGATGGGTGTGACGTAATATATATGAAGTTGTATGACGTACTTAAAATGACATCGTAAATGTGGAGAGCAGTGACGTAATGAATTTGATCTTGTATGAAATGGTCAAAAACATACCTAGATGAAAATGTCTGAATTGCGAAATGTGAAAAAAAGTTGAAAAAAAATATGGAAAAGAAGAAAATGACTGATTTCCCGGGCTACCTGTCTGAACTCTCGTAGGCGGCGCTGTGTTCATATAAGCCTTCAGTGGATTTGAAGTCGAGAGAACAGTGGCGGTTCTAGAGCTTCATTGACTTTCACGACCCCGACTGCGGACTTTGAATACATTGTGAGGCTTCTGTTGTCGTGACCGAATTCTAACACTGCGGTACCTGATGTGTTCATTGGAAATTATGGATACTTTTAGATCCTCTTTTTAACCTAGCAAATTTGCATGAACATACGTTTTGTTGTATATTGTTATGTATATAATAGTGTAAATAAAATAATAAAAAGAAAAATGTCATTTGTTTATTTTGTTTTAAATGTCATATCTATATTCTTGAACTCGATATTTAAAATCTAATGGACCCGAGACAAATAAAAACCACTATTTCTATTGGTACGGTATCCATGTTTGACCATGTGTAGCAGAAAACAACCATGTCGTGTTTGGTGAAATTTCACAACCTAAACTCTGACAAGTTGCCTCGAGCGTGGGTTATGTGACAAAAATCTTAATTAAATCTCCAAGCACGCGGCATGTGGAAACCTTCCAACAGCCTGCCACGGCAGTGTGACGCGGGTAGTGACAGGAAATAATCGCTGTTGTATAACAACGAGTCGTGCCACGTGCTATTGGAAATCATAGTAGTTAGTACTGGAACGGTGGGGAAAATCTAGAATTGTTCCCTGAAATTCTGTCAAATGCGTCATCTTGTTTCATTTTACGTACATGCGTTTTAACGGTAAAACAATGAGGTTGAGTTTTCTACTATTGATTGGAGGATGGAATTTTTTCTTCCGTTTTTATCTCCCATTTGTTAGCATATATTCACTTTCATTGTCTTAATTTTTTCTTTCTCTGAAGTGACGGAGCTCGGCGTAAAAAAAATTAAATAAAGAAAAAAATACAGCTCTAAACAAACAACATCGTTATATCCAATGTTTTATAGACTTATAGTTCCTGTCCATAAACGAGAGCTGTTTCATGAGCACTCGGCAGTAAAGCTACCGACAGGTGACAGGTTCCCGTGGCTTTCTTATTGATACTGCTATTATCATATACTTGACAGACATCTATAGCTTCCCGTCTGCCTGGGGTTAGATGCGGGACAGTCGATGATTCTTAAACCAACACAAGATAAACATTTCTATTGAAGACTTACATGGTTAATTCGGGCCAAGTTTAAAGACGTTGCCTTTGGTCTGTTAGCGTTGTTATTGAATTAAGAAGCGTCACATCAGATGACCCTGCTATTTGAGGATAAAGGGGGAGGGGGGAGAGGGGGAGGGGGGTGCAAGCGTCTATCAGACTGAGGTAGCTAATCTTGACACCGAGATATAGTAATGGGATACAATAATGGGATAAAATAGTGGGAAACAATAATCATATCTTTCCATGGGATAAAGTAATGGGACACAACTCTGGGATATTCTAATGGGGTACAAAAGTGGGAAACAATAATCGGATAGTACCCTGGGGTAAAGTAAAGGGATACAATAACGGGATACGATCCTGGCCATGGGATGCAATAACGGGATACGACCCTGAGATATAATAATGGGATACAACCGTGGGATACAACCCTGAGATATTATAAACAGAACGGACTCAGTTTCTAACGGACCATTCCCGCCAGCCGGTCCATAACATGTAATATTCCCTAAACGACAGTAAAAGCTGAAGGTTTGTTGTGCTTGCCACACTTAAACCACACCCTGGTGGTGTAGTAGCTGCCATTATGCAGCCAGAGAAAACACGATATATGGCTATCGTGTTCTGATTTAACAGCTTAAAACAAAAAATGGCTTTTGAGTTTTGAGAGGTACCAGCAAATTACTGATATAGCACTTGCTATTGTGATGTAGCGCCAACTTTTAAGATGTCAGCTTTTCACGCCTTGTATAATATGAGTTTGCTAAAAGCTGAAATGCCGCCACAAGCTTATCATGATTAACACAGAGCTATACACTGAATTGGAATCCAGCAAATTGTTTTGTTCTAAACACGTGCCCGACATTGATTTGTTTTGGGGAAAAATGGAAAACCTTTTGAAATCAAATATCAGCTTGGCTCACACTTCCTGTACAAACAGCCAACCGGAGAGTAAATCCTTTCTAATCCCCGCTCACTTCTTGTTGGCAGAGGTAAACCATTTATAAGGCTTCCAAGAGTTGCCGAGATTGGCAAACATCTTCCGCTGCGGTTTAGAAGGATGATTGTATTGTCAGGGTTTGTATTCTACAATGTACGTCTTTCTTGGCGTTTCCCTTTATGGGCTTCAATTTCTGGATGATTATAACTAAGCAATACACCCAGTAAACACAGAAATGTTTAAGAAACGTTAATGTTTCTATCTTTTTTTACATAATAAACACGTTTTTGATAACGTTATAAAATTTTGTGTTGATAATATGGAGAAAAGAAACA